CCTAAACCCCATAAGCCCTAATCCCCCCTCCCGCTTCAAAAAAGAACAAGCATCACAGCGGTGGGGAAGCCTCGGGGTGGGAGGTCATATGTATCAGCGGCGTCACCCCTTCGGAGTTGGAGACGTCGGTGTTGGCCTCTGGGAGGCGTGATTGAGTGATTCGGCTTTTTCGGGCAATATAGGGGCCTTATAAATAAATGGACGCGGGCCCCAAAGAGTATATAATATGGTATGGTTTAGCCCTAAACCCTAAACCCTTGTATTAGGGTTCAGGGTTTTGTTTAGGGTCGGGCGGAAAGTCCGAAACCCTGAAACCCTAGAGCCCGGATGGCACCAGGCCTTGGGGCGGGGGTGGGGATTCAGTCTCTCTTAGAAGTGTACGGAAGGTGCCCAAACCCGCATGAAGATCTTTATGGCGGGTCTCACCAGAAAAAACGAAACCTAAAACCGTAAACACCTAAACCCTAATAACCTAAACCCTAAACCCTAAAACCCTAAACCCTAAACCCTAAACCCTAAACCCTAATAAAACCCTGAACCCTAAACCCTAAAACTCCGATATAGATCCGATACGAGGGACCCGGTTATTGACGTGTAGAAAATTGGGCAAGAACCTGCTTAGAGACTCCGTTGTAGTTCCTCTTTGTGGTTCATATTTAGGATCCCGGTAATCCCAAAAAAAGGAACTACCAGGGAGCCGATGGGTAGAATCCAGCTTTATCTTGTCATCTTCGGAGTTCTTCTCTCGATTCCGGCATTTGGCATTAGGGTTTAGGGTTTAGGGTTTAGGGTTTAGGGTAATAAACGGTTGGGTTCATGTACAAACCGAAGCGAAAGGAACCGTGGACTTGCTGGCACTTGAAGTTTGGGGTTGTGCTTGGGGGATAAGGTCTGGGGTTAAGGAGTCAGGGGTTTATTAATTTATAATGCTTCGAAAGCGAATTCCAACCCTAAACCCGAAACCCTAACCCTAAAACCCTAAACCCTAAGCTTTTCGAACTCGATACACGTTTTCACGGTTTGCTTTCCCCCCCCCCGGGCGATTGCCCCTTTTTTTGGGATCCTTTCCTCTAGTACCGGGGTCACTGAGCTGCGAGTTTTCAGGGCTTGGGTGCTGCCAGAGTTTAGGGGTTTAGGGTTTTAGGGGCTAGGGTTTAGGGTTTAGAGTTTAGGGTTTAGGGTTTAGAGTTTAGGGTTTAGAGTTTAGGGTTTAGGTTTTAGAGTTTAGGGTTTAGGGCCAAGCAAAGCTCAGGACTAAGACATTAGATGATCTTTGGGTCATTCACGCTCTAGACGAATCCCATCGATAGACCATAAACCCTAAGACCTAAGACCCGAAACAGCAGAGTCCTGGATGCCCCAGTCATGCAGTCCCAAACTCGGAAGCCCTGCTCTGAGCCAACCCACGTGCGAGGGCCCCTAAACCCTAAACCCCGACCAAACCCTAAAGCCCTTAACCCTCAACCCCAACTAAACCCAAAACCTCCAAACCCCGACTAAACCCTAAACCCTACATCCTAAACCTCGAAAGCCCGACTAACCCTAAATCCTAAACCTCCAAACTCCGACTAAAATCCCAAGCCCTACACCCTAAACCGTAAACCTCTAAACTTCAAACCCTTAGAACGAAACAACAACCCTTAACCCAAAACCCTTAACCCTTAAAACAAAAAACCCTGAACCCTAAACCTTCATACAAAACCACAAAAAAACACCTAAATCCTAAAACCCTAAACTCTCTGATCCCCACCCCACGTCAGGGCCAGCGGCGCGGGCTCGGATCAAAACCTGCAACTGATCCCAATCGCCTCGGTACATGGGGCTTTGGCTCTAGGGGTTTCGGGGCTTAGGGGTTTCGGGGTTTAGGGGTTTAGGGGTTTAGGGGTTTAGGGGTTAGGGTTTAGGGGTTTAGGGCTTAGGGTGGGGCTGCTCTTAGAACTACGCAGATTGTGAGGGCTTTATGGGCTGCTTTATGCGTTTTTTGTAATTCACGGTTTTGTATGGGGGGGGGGTTCTTGAAACCGGAATCTTTTCTGTAAGGGTGTGATGGGGTTTTCAGGGGGGTTGTTGTAACAGTGCTACTAAATGAAGGGTCTCCGTCAGTAGGCCCCGTTGTGGCTGAATCATAAAGAACCATCGACCTCAAGCCTCAGTATAAGACCACGGAAGAACTAAGGAAACGACAAGTTCAAGCTCATCTGACATTTTCGGGCTTGTTTGACGGGTTTAGGGCTCCACGGTTGGGGTTGAAGGTTCGCAGAGCACGACGCAGCAGAACTCGGTGCAATGTTTCGGCTAGGCTGGAAGCTGCCGCCAACACAGAACCCTCAAACCCAAACCCTAAACCCTAAAGGAAAAATGAGGCAACCGAATGCAGGCAAGTGATGCGGCTAGCCCCGGATGTAGCACTGCCACTGCGCTGCCCGCGACCCCCAAAAAGCTAAACCTTAAACCCCATAAGCCGCATAAGCCCTCAGACGGCATAACACAGTAGCAGACTCACGGTCTAAAATTGCTGACGACTAGAAACCCTAAACCCTAAAAGTCCTAAAAACCCGAAAGACCAGAAATCAGCCGCTTCTCCGCGATGAGCAAGAATACATAGCCAAGCGCTCTTCCCGGCTCATTGCGGCCACGGTGCTGTCATACAAAGCCACCCAAAACCTGTTTACAGTTTAGGGTTTACTGCTTTGGGTTTTAGAGTTTAGGTTACGGGGTCTAGGGTTTCGGGGCAGATCATGATTTGCTGTGCTGCGAAAAGTTTGTTCGTACGTGCTCGAGACATAGAACATGCTTCTATACTACCTATAGGCTCCATTGTAGTTCCTTTTTGTGATTCATATTTAGAATCCTATAAAGTAATCCCCAAAAGGACTACAACGGAGCCGATGGTTACGCACACCGACGACCTGATTCCGAAACCCTAAATTCGAATCTATAAACCCTTCGAGCCGTAGTTCCCAAGCAGCCAAAGCAATGATATTTGTATGTATTTGGGCTTCTACATTAACTTTCAATGAGGTACCCCCTCGACCCCCCCAACTTTCAATGACACGATCCCGCAATGGCCGCCGGGCTGCGGCGAACTGCACTTCTCTGGTGCCAAGTTGACATCCGCGCGCACTTTGCAAAGATACCTGTTCTTCCCGCCCTCTAATTCCGAAATAGTGCTTGCGGTTTGGGGCTTGGGTTTTAGATGGTTTAGGCCTTGTAGGGATTTACGGTTTACAGGCCCCTGTTTTCACCCATACTGCCAGGACACCCTCTTTTGGGGCTGTGTGCCTTTACCGGAACCTCACCGACACGGTAATGAGAGAGGGCAGACATGTAGCCAAATAACTGCCAACATTTCCGCATGTCTCCCCCAAAACAGAGGTGGAGTAGGCTTTGGCTGAAGAGAACAGGGCAAGGGGAAGGTATTCAACATGGTCGCCGAGCAAAAAAACGGCGAATGAATCGGCCAATGAATAGGATACTTGCTCATAGCGAAAGACGGGTTGTGAAAGGTTGTGATTCTCAAAAGGCTCATTGCTTTCGTCTGCACAATCTGGATAACTTCCTGTAATCTAGTGCGACTTCGTTTCTAGAGTCCATATCTCCAGAAACCACGCTACTCTGCACACGAAACGCCGTGAATCGTAAAATGCCCAAACACCAAAACCGCGCAAGCCTTAAACCCAAACTGCTTAAGCCAAAACCTCCAAACCCTAAACGCCTGGTGAGAGTCCGTGATGACCCTCAACAATAAACCCTAAACCCTAAGCCCTAAAGTCCTAAGCTCAAGGCATCAGACCCTTGGTAAAACCAGTCCAAAGCTCTTATAATCAATATACCCATAGGCCCCATAGTAGTTCCTTCTTGGGGTTCATATTTAGAGCCCTATAGTGTAATCCCGAAAAGGAACTACTATAGGGGCCTTCGGGTACAGTAGAAGCCCAAAAGTTGGAAACCCAATAGCCGCAATCCGAAAAAGTAATGTATATAAGGAATCCCAGCACTACTTGCCCTTACTCCGGCTTCCAACGTTTTGGGTTTACTATAAGGGTGGTTCTCTAAATAAGGGGCCCTTTTAGGGGCCTTTTTTTTTTTGGGTGCCGTACTATATTGGGGACTTACATAAGGGACCCTAATTTAGAGAACTACCCATGAAGCCCAAATCCAGGAGCAAGGGACTTGATTCCATCCACCCAGCCGCTCTCGACTGTCAGGTGCACGGCAGAGATGCATTCCTGTAGGGTTTAGGGTTTTGGGTTTAGGATTTACTTCTTCTAGCAGCTTACTTTATGGTTCCCACAACTTTCACAGATCCAAGAAGCACTGCAAACAAATGGGAAATCTTCTAAATTCGGATCCCATTTAACTCCCGCAGATAGCACGGCACCCTTTTTAAAAGCACCTGAAAAGGGGCCCTAATTTAGAGAACTGCCCAAATAGATCCAAAAGGATCAAAGCTTTGCACTCCCGGGCGCAGTCTGTTCGTTCGATGGCTTCTCCGGGTCCCTTGCTGCAACGAGAAGCACAGGTTGGATTTAGGGTATAGGGCTTAGGGTTTGGAGTTAGGGTCTAGGGCTTAGGGTTTGGGGTTTAGGGTGCTTGGTTTGGGGTTTAGTTACCCACAGGCTCCATTGCAGTTCGGTTTTTGGAGTACCATATAGGATCCTTAATACAAACCACGAAAAGGAACTAGGACCACGGCTCGTATTGCGCCACGTACTAAACAGCTTCTCGTCTTGGCTTTGCGGGTTGTGGCCAAATGCTCGTCTTCTGCTTTCGCATCTGCCTCTCTGGAGCGTTCTTCTTCAGCTTTTCGGGCAACACACCAGTATCTGATTCACGAACCAAAGTCGACGCCATAACCTCTGTGGTCGGCGGCAACGTAGGCCAACAAGCAACGAATGGAGAATCATCTGTGCAAACGCTTTTGCGCTCGTGTCCAGTGCCTGGAGATGTGCACGATCATTGTAGAAAACACCAGTGAAATCTTCGATATCGGATGTAAATATGGAGTACAGCATGGCAAAGATGTATGTGGGTTTCTCATTCATCCAGCCAGTCGGTAAAGCCTGAATGTGGAACATGCTCATCGCTTCTGGAGTGTTCAGAAACGGTAAAGCCCAAAGCACCGTGGCACTGCGGTAATGCTGCCGGTAAGCAAAAGACGAGTCACAAATCATCGATTTTCAACGCGAGACCCATGCATGTGCGGGGCGTTTGCCCCTTGAGCGCTAGCCTACATCTCGCGACCTCCATGCTGCGGATACCGGCACAATCAGTCGCACGAAGCAGTACAAATTAAAAAGTGTACCTTGAAGGAGTAAGAACTATATAGTTCTGTGCCTTCCGCGCCTGCTTGATTTCTGCAATGCATCGATGCGGTAAAAGGTCGTAGCCGAGATCATGTTCCAAACGTGTAAACCCTAAAGACCTAAGGACAAGAGCTTCTGAACCCTAAACCCCAATTCCTGAACCCGCAATCGCACAGTCTAACCACGCACCGTGAACAATGAAATCGCAACTCGGTAGATGAAAAATGGCCGTGCTTGAAGCTCCTGACAGGAGGCTCCAGGCCAAAAATGTCAAACTCACACTCGCGCTTTCTCGCGGGCCTATGCCGTGAATTCTTCAGGAACCTGGTGCCCAAAGAAGGACCTGCAGTTAATCTGACCAAAGCCCTCAGAACCGAAACCTCTGAGCATCGCGCCCGTCTGCTTCGTGGATCTTTGGGGCTGAATAGCCTGAGACTCCAGACTGTCCTACTGCGCGTGTACAGAAACTGCATGTCCCCTATTAAATTCCACATCATGGCTTAGAGTTTAGGGCTTGAGATATCTTTGCGCTGGGACCAAGGTTCTTGAGATCTTGTTTGTAGCATGTTTCAAAACAGCGCCCCCCCCAGCCTCCCCCTCTCCCCAAACACAAAAGGAGTAATTCTCGCAACTGCAAGGCAAAAGGTTCAGGAGGCCCTGCAGTTTGAGGCGTGGCTTTGGACAGTCTCAGAAATGTGGAAACGCTGAGGGTTCAGGTTGGTGCTTCTCATCATACTCAGAACAACTGCGTGCCCGCAACCAACCCTGCATTTTCAGAACAAAACTTGCTGCTTTGCAAGGCCTCTTCCTTTGTACTGTTTGTATTCCGGGTTAAACTGAGTACGCCGTTAAATGATTAGATTCTGGCAGCTTGTAAAGGTACACCATGAACCTTACAGGCCTCCAGCATCCAGGATGTATATTATGCACACCTCTACCGACAGAGAAAATGCGCAGCGGTCAGTGGTTCGAACGGACTACTCTGTTCCCTTTGGTTGTTTCGGGTTTAGGGTTGAGGATAGGAAAAGAGCAACATTGAGGAGTGTCGGCTCTGCCATGACTGATGCGGTACACAAGCACTAGAGATGAGTTTGGCATCGACACCGAAACCTGCAAAGCCGACACAAAACCCATGAGGAGACGCTTCAGACTGAATGCAACTCCGACCTTGTCTAAGCTTTGGTGTTTGTGGCTTAGGATTCAAGCCTTAAGAGGTTCAGGGCTGAGGATTTCTGGATTGTTGGGGGTTTGGTTAAAATGCGGGATGAAAGGTTTAAGGACTTCAGGGCTTTCCAGTTTGAAGCAACCGTATGCAAATCATTCAACAAAGCACCGACCTTAGACGCGACTGTAAGACCGCAAGGATGCAGGCTGCCCACAATCCAAACCACATATGCGTGAAACCTGAGCCTCGAAGCCTATAAAACCTTACACCGTAACTCTTCATCCCTGAATTCCAAACTACCCTTTGAACTCCGAAGGTGCCCTTCATAAACGAAGTTTTGCCAGAAGAAGCTCCGCCGGTCGTTCCAGGCACAAGCGTCTTCACACTTCCAGCGGAAACGCCGATAGCATAGCGCAGACTTAATCCGAAAGCCCACAGTCCCGGGGCTCCGACATGTTTTCGGGCTTCAGGTCCCGATGCACCACGCCCCTGGCATCAGTGCCTAGATCAACAGTTACCTGCATAGTCGGATACTCTATTTTTGTCATATTTGCAGATTGTAAAACCTCGTGTAGGTCTCGCCACTGATCAGGGATGAAGCAGCCTTCTTGTGTGCTTTGTGACGAAAGAGGGTATCTAATGAAAAAACATCACAATAATTATTCAGAAACAATTGAAAACCAGATTTTGGTTTGGAACCATCGTATTGATGGTGGTTTCCGGATCTAGGAGAAAGCATCTGGATACATACTGCTGCTGCCGAATAGCTGGGTAGAAGGCCCGGGCGGATCATAGGGGGCGGGGGATGTGATACAAATATATATATATATATATGTATATACATATACACACATACATACA